TTATTATCCTGAGACAATGGGAAAACAAAGAAGAAAAGATTTCGAAGCATGGTATGATATGCACAAGGACGGTTCTTTTTTACTTTGTGAACAAATTGTCGAATATTGTGAGCAAGATGTACGCATACTCACACACGCACTTGTTAAACTACAAAAGCTATTCTTTGGCCTCGCTACGGAACCATCAAAACGAGATGATGTTCTTGTATCTTCAATGACACTGGCTAGTGCATGTCTCCGTCATTTTTGTATGTTCAAAACTCTAACCAATATAGTTTTATTTTTTAGGCATAAACTATCTGAAATCCAATCAGATAGGTATTATTCCAGACAACGGATATCACAAAGATACAAACTATTCTGCAATCTCCATTAAATTTATTAAATGGCTTGAACATAAAACAGGATTTCAAATTCAAAACAGACAAAGTGCAGAAGGAGAGTATAGAATTGCTGTTTCAAATGGAAGTGTTTTGCGGCTTGATGGATTTATTAAAGAAAAGAATATAGCTATAGAGTTCCTCGGATGTGCATGGCATGGACATAAATGGTAAAATAATCTTCATTTTTCTTACTTATAAATTTAGTCTTTATCGCCCTCATGAAATTTGTCTAAACGGTAAAACAGCACTATTTAATGACGACACTTTAAACGAGCGAATCAATTTGTTAAAAAACGAGAACATACGTACCTACATATTTTGGGAATGTGAGGTAGTCAAGGCTTTGGAAGGCAATCCGAAAATGTCTCTTTTCTTTGATGAATTGCCCGACATTGGACCTTTATTTCCTCGAGATGCTTTTCATGGTTTTATTATTTTTTAATTCTTATAATTATGTAATATCTAGGTGGAAGAACTGGACCATTATCTCTTAAATGCCATCTTGAAGGGGATGTAGAAAAGGAATACGAAATCTCATGTTATGATGTGGTTAGTCTATATCCGGCGGTTAACTTTTATGCATTTTACCCCATTGGTAAGCCTTTTTGAGCAGAGGGTATCGTGCAACAAAAGTTTATAGTATCTATCATTGGCAAGAATGGTCTGATGAATTACTACGCCCATATGTTCAAGACATGATGCGCTTAAAAATTGAGGTTTAACTTGAGTTTTATTATTCATTATTTTTAACTTAGGCAAGCGGTTGGCCGGCGAGTGTTATAAACCCGGATAATCTTGAACAGCAGGAAAGACAGAAAAATGCTTTTATTGAGAAAAATCAAAAAGAATATGGTATTACTCTTGATCCTTCAAAAATAGAAAGAAATGAAGGATTGCGCTATCTAGCTAAAACTTGCAATAACTCAATGTAAGAAAATTAATAAAATTTAAATCATAAATTTAGGTGGGGACGATGGGCACTTCGCTGTAATTTAACTCAAGATTGCATCACAAATTCCCCTATGAAACTTCATGCAATCCTTAATGATCCCAAGCTGGAAGTCGGTGCTATAGAAATGTTGACTCCAGATCTGTTCGCTGTGCCATATAAGAATCGTCGCGAATTTGTTCGACCTCACGATAAGTACAACATAGTATTGGCCCTTATTACAACAGCAACTGCAAGAGTGATGCTTTACGACTTTATGGAAAAAATTGTAAATGACAACGAATGTAAACTTTTATATACCGATACGGATAGTTGTTTCTTTGTACACACGCGTAATAAGAAACCACCATTTCGTGTTGGGGATATGCTTGGAATGATGAGTCGTGAATATGCAGAATGGTCTATTATTTCATTCTATACCGGTGGATGCAAACAGGTATTGAAATCAAGCTTTTATTGTAAATATTTTTCTTAGTATGCAATGAAAATGAAGCACCGTGAAACAGGCGAAATAAAATATATTGTAAAATGCCGTGGACTTTGGGAGCAGGTCGACACACCACTGGACTTCAATCAATTCCGAGTATTTTTTAAGTTATACGTTTTAATTTTATAATTTATTTACAGAAAATGGTAGAAGCATATGGAGAAAAACAAGATCCTGTGGTATTACAGCGAACACATTTTCAACCGAACTGGCGCAAAGGACAAGTTACAAGTCGCACTCAAATAAGGTATTTATTTTTTATTGAAAAATATAAAAATTATTTAGACGCTACACTCCAATCTATGACAAAGGATTTGTAGATGCAAATTTCGATTGTTATCCCTATGGATATCGGGGCGAGCCTATTATTGATCCAACAAAATGATTTTTTTTCGTATAAATATTTTTTAATAAAAATATTGTTTTAGATTTGTTTTATACTATATATCTTTTATAAATTTTTGTTTAGTAGTTTTAAAATATTTTTAGCAAAATGATCAGTGATATCAAAATAGGTTAATTTTTAAAATTAATTTAAATATAAAATATTTTAGATAATACAGCTTATTTCCTAGAACGACTTAAAATAAAAATTACTGCGAACTCGCATCCACCAATAGAAATTATTGGCGAACAACATCAAAATATATTCATATTTCATTCTCAACGTTTTGGCTTTGACAATCGGTTTAGATCGAGTTTCACACTACTTGGGAAAACATTTAGTTCAGTTGAACAATTTTTCATTTGGCAAAAAGCACGTTTCTTCGGGGATTTGGAGATTGCTGAAGAAGTATTAATGCTAGATAATCCTATAACTATTCGAAGAATTGGGAAACGTATCCGTGGATATAATCAAATTGAATGGAACACTGTTCGCAACAAAGTAAAAAATATTATTTATTATTTCATCATAATATTTAGGTAATGTACACAGGAATATGGGCAAAATTTACCCAGAACATTCAGCTATTCAATCAGTTACGTGCCACAGGCGATGGACTTATTACGCAGGCGTCCGCATCAGAACTTTATTGGAGCAACGGCGTAAGCCCAAAAAGTGCAAAACTGAAAGACCCTAATCAATGGGAAGGCGAAAATTATCTTGGAAAACTCTTGATGGAATTAAGAAGCGAAATCAACACTAGTATTTATTGATTTTTTACAAACGTTAAAATAGAATTGTAAATTTTATTTTGAACAATAAAAATTTCTTCTTCTGTTCGTGCGCCTGTAATTATACACTTTCCAGTTGTAAAAATTAAAACAACCGTGCGAAAATCAACAAGTCTTAAGCACATACCCGGAAAAAATTCTGGGTTGTAAGAAATATGTTTAGCTAGCCACTGTGGAGGAGCAATTCTCAGGGTGTCGTACAAGGCTTAAAAAATAATTCATTATGATAGGAAAAAAGTTACCCGGTAAATTAATATGTCCAGGAAAAGCAAATGAGGATACAACATTTTGTATCTTAAATCCTCGCATTTTTATTGGCAAGGAACTTGCAGATGATATAATGTCAACAAAATGTCCAATTGCAATTTCCGAATCCTTCACCGATTTTGTCCCAACACATACTATCCGTCCGTTAGAAAATATTAAAGCCGTAGATCTAATTGGTTGTTGAATTCTAATTATAAGTGCTGAGAAACGTTCAGGAGCATATTTAGAATTGTTTATTATTTCTGCAAGATTAAAAAGATTAAGTTTACAATTTTTATCAAGTAGTTGAGCAGTAGAAACAACATTTTGAATAATTGCTTTAGGAATCATCTGTAATATATAAATGAAAACACATTTTTTACAAGGCAAAAAAAATGTTCAAAGCTCCTTTCACTATGGTTATTTCCGGTGCCACAGGCAGCGGAAAAACCCAATGGCTTATGAAATTTCTGGCAAATTGTGAAAAATTAATTGACCATCCGCCAAATAAAATATTATTTTGTTTTGGTGAAATGAACGAAAATATATTTAAATTAAAAGAAATGGGAATAACAACATATAATGGGGTTCCAGAAGTCGAGATGATTAAACAACACCAATTATTAGTCCTAGATGACTTAATGCTAAATATCCCTATGGAATTTCTAGATTTACTATTCACTCGAGGATCGCATAATTGGGGTGTAAGCGTAATCTTTGTAACACAATCACTTTATGGGCGCGATATCAGGACAGCTCGAGCAAACGCCCATTATATTCTTTTAACTAAAAATCCTCAAGGACTGCTCCAGGTACGTACACTCGGTTCTCAGCTTTTCCCAAAAATGTTAAACTATTTTCTTGAGGCTTATCGCGATGCTACTTCCGAACAATTTTCCTATTTACTAATTAATATGCATCCAAGTACAGAAGAGAATCTGCGTCTTTCCACTAAAATATTTCCAGGTGAAAAACAGACTATATATTTGCCTCTATAATATATAAGTGATCTTAAAACTATTATTTATAAAAAAATGTATGACTATAGTCCATACGTAAAAGAAAATTTTGAATTTTTACAGCGTTTAGCTAAAACATCTTCCGATAAAAAGAAAAACGCTTTAATTCTTTCAGCTAGTGCAGATCAAATATTAGCAATAGTTGAAATCTGTGCTAATATTTTAAAAAATAATTTTATATTAAATAGAAGACAGCGCAAAAAGTTAGCTCAATTTGCGGATTTCTATAGAGCTATCGCCCGAACACGTACTGAAAAAAGCGCTAGAAATCGAATACAACAAGGAGGTAGTGCCGCTCTTGCTGCTATACTTGTACCTGTCCTAGGAGCCTTAGCTGAACATATCATTCATAGATTCACACAAGAATGAAACATACAAAGAAAATGATTATGGTTCCTGAAAGCGAATATCTTACACTATTAAGCATGATCAAAGGCGGAGATTCTCTTCAAAATGAAAAGTTACAGACAGACTCAAAAATTAAACAGACACTTAGTGATCCAAATTTAAGAGAAGATGTCAAAGCCCAAAAATATAACTTGTTATATAAGAAAAGGAGACAACTCAAACATGAGTTAGAAAATAGGCCTCAAAAGGTGATAATCGATGAAGGTAATGTAGCTAGAGCTTCAGAAATTGCTCCTTACCTAAAGGAAACTGCAGCCCCTAAAGCACAGTTACAACCAGTACAATCAAGTTCAGAATATCAAACAGATTCAGAATTTACATCGACAAAACTAATGAAAAGAAGAAAAACAACACCTTTTAATGGAATTATTTCAAAAAGATATTCGAAAGATTTAGAAAATTATGTCAAAGATAATGCTGAAAAATTTAGAATACGTAAGAATGGAAGCTTCGAATCTAACGTCAAAGGAAGACTTGTAAAGAATAGTAATTTCACTGAAGTGCTCGAATATGTACAAGGTGATATATCGTCACCTCCTAAAGGTTTTAGTTTTCTATTTAATCGATTATCCAAAGACCCATTAGTAAAAGAAATGATCAAAGAGACGCAAGGAGAAAGTAGTACAGAGGAAAGGTCTGGAAGTCAATCAGGTAGTGGGAAAAGTAAGAAAAGAGTTTTGGTAAAAGTCCTGCCTATAAAAAAGAAAAATAAATTTATTCCTCAAATATGGGAAAAGCTTTAGATAATTTTTTATCAAAAATATATTATTCGCTAAATTCTCCTGCTTCCTATGCAGGAATACATCGTGTTTATGAAGAAGCTAAGCTCAAATATCCAAAGTTAAAATATCAGGACGTCTATAATTTTTTGCATAAGCAAAGAGTGTATACGATGCATCGACCAATTAGAAAAAAATTTCCCAGATTAGTTACAAGGCCAAGTGGTCTTCATACAGATTGGCAAGCAGATTTGGCCATATTTGATCAGATATCTAAACATAATGATAATAACAGATACCTTTTAGTATGTATTGATGTTCTAAGTCGGAAGATTTTTGTAGCGCCCGTCAAAACTAAGAGATCAGAAGATATGATTGAAGCATTTGAAAAAGTTTTCAAACTTTCAGATGGTATCTTGCCTCATAAATTGTATACTGATCGAGGATTAGAATTTGAGGCTAAAAGAATGAGGGAATATTTTATATCCAAGGATATTGACAAGCGTGTAGTTTATAGTCCTGATGTTCATGCTTCAATGGCAGAAAGAGCAAATCGTACAATAAAAGAAAGATTATATCGATACTTCAGCGAAAAAAACACACTTCGGTGGGTTGAAGCCATTCAAAAAATTGTTTCTGGAATAAATTCAAGCGTAAACCGTGTTACAGGTGTTACACCTAATTCTGTTACTTTTAAAAATTCTCAAAATTTATTTGAAAGACTATATAAGGGCACTGATGATCCTATAAAAATAACTTCTAAACTCGAGCCTGGACAAGTTGTCCGTATATCAAAAGAAAAGGGAAAATTTGAAAAAGGTTATTTACCAAACTATACTGACGAGCTTTTTCTTATACATACAACTAACGACGCACGTACGCCTATAACATATAGGTTAAAAGATTTTGAAGACAACCTAATTGAAGGAATATTCTATAGAGAAGAGTTGGTGCCCACGAAAGAGGATACTACTCATCGTATTGCCGAAATTTTAAAGACTCGTACAACACGTACAGGGATAAAGCAACACTTTGTGCGTTGGGTTGGTTATAAAGATATACATAACAGCTGGGTAAACGACAGCGACATAGTTCGACATTAACCATGGATTCATTTTATGTTGTTTTACCTTCAAATTCTGAAGATGTTGAAGGAAATACTACCTCAAAGTTTACAGTAAGGATGCCTGACACACTTGAGTTAGATTCAAGTTGGACTGTTGCACTTTCAAACATTATTTATCCGTTTTCATTCTCTTTACTTGGAGATTCCGAAGAACAAGAATCTATTACAATTTATCGCCGATATGGAAAGGAACTTCTATCTGTTCGAATCGAGATACCTGATTTGTCTTTTGCCTCAGAAGAGGCATTAGAAGAGGCCATAAATGCAGTTTTGCTTGATGCTTGGAAAAAGGAATTGGATCGCGAGAGAGAGGAAATGAGACTTGAAGAAAATAAAAAAAGAATCTATGGGAATTTTCGTAGAAGACGAGCTGTTGAGACTATAAGCGAACAATTAGTTAAAAATGGGTATTTTGATTTGTCAAAGGAAATTTCATTTAATTTCATGAAATTTTTAGGAAAACAAGGAATTCGTTTACAGCCTATAAGCCCTCATGCAATAGATGGTATAGAAATGGTTCGTTTCACTCCAAATCACGATCAAATAGAGCTGATCAAACATGCACTTGATGAATTTACTAATCCTCCCTCAGCCAATCAAAATGAAGAACACTCGACTGTTACTCCTATCGAAGAAACCATTGAATTTACTCCGCAAACACAGCCCAAAGTTGAACAAAAAGAAAAATTGCATACTGCCGAGTATGAGAGTTTCATTCAACAATTGGAAACGGAAGGTTACTTTGATATGCCAAAAGATCGTGCTTATAAATTTATTCAATATTTAAATAAAGAAATTAAGGGGGCAAAACTTCCAGTTCTATCTTCAGTTCCGGAAAGCTCTGTTGTTCGATTAAAGCCGCAAACTGAGCAAAAAGATATAATAATAAATGCAATTAAAAGTTTTGCATCACCTTCCCCATCTGAAAATACTTTACACGAAGCAAGTTTAGTGGAAAATGTTGATGAAAATCCTGAAACGCCTGCTCCCTCTCAAGTTTATGTTAAAAATCAAATTAATGAAAAAACAGAAAGTTTGCCTACATCTGATAGTTCTATAACTGATGATCCTCCTATCCCAAAGTCTCCAGTAACACCTGTATCAGAAAGTTTTGCATCACCTTCTCCATCTGAAACTAAACCTGAAAATCCTTTACAAGAAGCAATTTTAGTGGAAAATGCTGATGAAAATCATGAAACAGATACACCTGCTCCTTCTCAAGTTCAAGTTAAAAATCAAATTAATGAAAAAACAGAAATTTTGCCTACATCTGATAGTTCTATAACCGATAATCCTCCTATTCCAAAGTCTCCAGTAACACTTGTATCAGAAGCTCCTACTGAAGCTCCAGTATCTTCGGAAAAAAAATCGGATGATATACAACAGGATGCTGAGAAGCAAAATGACAAAACTCCTTTAGACGGAAAGATAACACCTCTTTCTGATACACTAACAGATGAACAAAAAACTTTGATAGATATGGCTGTTCGTGCGGCTACAAGGTCATTGACTAATAGTGTAGAATTGGCAAAGCAACAATCACAACTAAAAAAAGATCTTAATCAGAAATATTGGAAAGATGCTCGTTATAAGTATGCACTACTAGATGAAGAGGTAACATTAAATGAGACGGGGGTAACTAAGAGAAAAGTACCTGCAACCATTCTAAAATTGGTTGTAACACAATTAAAATTATTGTTTAGTCGAAGAAATGAAATAGATAAATGGATACAAGAATGTTTAGATGCAAAAGATAGGGTTTCAGAAGCACAAATAGAAACTGTAGCGGCAGAATCACGAGGCGATGTTACTGAGGCACGAAAAGCTGCAGATCGTGCTAAGGCCGCAGAACAAAAGGTTAAAGAATTAGCCAGTCGAGTTGAAGAAGCTGTTGCGGGTCAGAAAATTTTATCTGAAGAAATTGTAGGCAAAGTTGAAGTTGAACTTTCGAAACAAGACTTTGAAACTTCATCAACAAAAATAACAACTCCTGATGATGAAGAGACTTCGACACATGAAGAGGAAAATAATGAAAGTCAAGTCGAACATGAAGAAGAGCCTAAAGGACCGACTGAAGATATGCAAGAAAATAGTAAACAGCCTTCTACACATGAAGAGGAAAATATTGAGGAAGAAGCAGAATCAACTGATGACATCGCTGAAGAGCCATCTGAAGATACACAAGAAAAGGATGAAGAACCTTCAGCACCTGCAGAAGATGAAAATATTGACGCTGAACATGAACAAGAAGTCGCTGAAACGCCTGAAGAAACTTCTGAAGGTCCGCAAGAAATGGATGCAGATCCTGCGACAATTGTAGAAGATGAAAATATTGACGATGAACATGAACAAGAAGTCGTTGTAGATACTTCTAAAGAAATATTGGAAAATGAAAAAAATATTGAACCTCGTGAGGAAATAGAACAAGAAGTCGCTGAGGAGCATGTAGAATTTTCTAAAGAAAAGATTCAGGAATTTCCAGGAGTTGATGATGAAGATGAAGAGCCTTGGACTCCCCCCTTAGAAGAGCCTGTACCACATTTAATGGACACTCTTGAAGATAATGAGTCGCATGAATTACCAACAATAAGTGAAGACGCTGTAGAACCATGGTCCCCTGAAAAAGAAGGCTTAGGAAAGCCACAGGAATCTTCGGCAATAATTAATGAGGAAGTGGCTGAAAAAGTGAGTAATCTTCCCACTATTGAAGAAGAACCAGAACAAGTAGCAATTCAGCCTGAGGATCTAAGCTCGTTGCCTGAGCTCCCGCATCCTGAAATGTTAATTGCTGATCCTCCTGAACGTCCTTCCTTTTGGAAAAGCTTCTTTGGTGGTGGAGGTAGGCATGTTGAAGATAAAACCAAAGACAAAGATCTTCCACAACAAGAAAATTTTCATCCGCAAAAAGAATCTGAAGAGTTGGATGATTCGGAGCCTAAAAAATTACATCTAGCTGAATATGCTTATCCTCCTGAATATTTAAAAATGCTTCTTAGTTTCTCCAACATACAACTCGCTGATCCAAAATATCAATGGGTTTCCATACTATACGATAAAGTGCATAAGCGATTTCATGTCTTCTTGCAAGGAAACGTACAATTTATTAAATTAAGTCGTCAACTAGCTTATACTCTTGGTTTCGATTCAGAGAAGGTTCATAGTGGACAAGTCGCAAAGTATATGCCTGATATATCTCGAGGTGTGCGTCAATTTTTAGTTTATGCACCAAAACTTGTTGAAAATAGCATAATAGGTAACGTAACTGCACCTTTATTACGTGTTGTTAATGTATCTGGTGAACCTGGAGAAAGTGTTTCAGAAGTATATATGACCGAACATCATCATCGTTTATTAGGTAAACGCCATCCAGACATTACTATTGAAATTCGAACCTTAACTGGAAAACTAGTAAAATTCCATTGGGGAACTTGTATATTGACATTACATTTTCAACGCTCACTATTTTAAAAAATGACACACGTTGAGTTAGATCTAGATAAAATTGACTGGGAGCCATTTTTGAGTGCTCAAGACGGTGGTGGAAGATTAATTGAAGATAATCGTTATTTTCAAGGAACTAGGTATCAACGAGGATTTGGTGTACTTGGGGCTGTAGGGCGTTTTTTAATGCCTATTGTTAAAAATATAGCCACAACTGCGGGAAATGAGGCTGTAAATGTTGGAAAAAATATTCTCGAAGATGTTTCACAAGGTCGCTCAGTAAGTGAAGCATTGAAACAGCATGGAAGCGAAGGTCTTCAAAAAGTAGGGAAAAAACTAGAACAATGTGGGAAAGGCAAAAGAAGCCGAAAGAAAAAACAAAATGTTATTATAGATAATTTAGGAAAGAAACGTAGACGATATAGAGACCAACTTAGCCTTGATGATTTCTGAGTATATAAGTATTAGTATATTATTATTCGGTAATAAAAATGACGACAATAAAGAAAATTGATAAAGACAGTACTGAAGGGGTTGATAATCGTCTAACTTTCTTTAGTATACCATCAACAAATGTTGGTATTCAGCGTTCGGCGTATAAAGAATTGCTTCCCCTCAATGCACTTAATCAATCTGCAGGTCCTTTTATTTTCCGGTATTTTGGTGACTCACTTTACTTAGATTTGAGTAAGACATATCTGAGTCTTGTATTATCTCTTGAACGTAAGGTTGATGCAACTGGTGAATGGGTCCCAATTGTTAAAGACTTGTCAGGAAATTTTGCGGGTGATAGTTTTACAAGTGTTGCTCAATATTTAGGGTTAACTTGGATTCGTCGTTTAACTCTATCTATTAATGGTATTCAATGCTATGACTCGGGAATCCATTATGCATACAGATGTTTACTTCTTCATGAACTTGGAGCAGATCGTGAGGTTAGCAAAGGTCTCTATGAGGCTGCACTTTATTATAAAGATGCAGTTGACAAAAACGATTTCGAAGGTTCAGGGTTTAAATCACGAGCAGCAAGATTTGCCAAAGGTCAGACTTGCAGATTACTGTCGCATTTGGACTATGATATGGCCAGACAAAATCAGCTTTTAATACCTAATAGTGATGTGCTCTGGACATTTTACAGAAATAGCGATGAATTCCTTATTCATGCACCAAAATATCGTAAAAAAGCTGGTGAAGAATTATTAAATAATACAAGCACATACCGCCTACGACTTCATGATATGAGAATTTTTGTTAAACAAGTTGATTTAAGTATGTCATTAAATAATGCCATTGCACGCCATTTAGAACAGGCGCCTGCAAAATATGCCTATAGAAAGATTGAAATTCGGAGTGTTTTTCTTGGAAAAGGTCGCCAGGAAATTACACATGCTGCGTTCACAAGTACGTGTCCGAGGCGTTTAGTGATTTGTTTTGTAAGCGCGCCTGCATATACTGGAAATACTGCGTTGTCTCCGTTCAATTTTGAGCATGCGAACTTGCGAACTGTTTCAGCAGAATTTGGTGGCTTCCAGTTTCCAGCTGTTCCTTATGATTTTGATTTTTCCAACGACAGCTTTGTACGTGCTTTTGTCGATATGTATGTAGGTATGGACTTAGATGCTTGGCCAAATTCAGATCAAAGAACTTTAAGCATAGGAATGAAAGAATTTTCACAATCATCTTGTTTCTTTGTTATACCTATGACTTCAACGCTTGAGGATACTAATGGGCTGGAACTCATTAGACAAGGAACAACAACCGTTCGTTGTATGTTCAATCAGCCTGTAAAGGATGAGGGATATGAAATGATAATCATGGGCGAATTCGATGCAATAATGTCCATAAATGCAGATCGTGTGTTAAGTACTGATGGTTCTGTTTAAAATGAATTCTCTCCAAATCGAAAATCTACTTAAAAAATATAAACCTCTAAAAAATAAGTTTATTGGTGTCTTTTCTTCTGACAATATCCCAAATAAAAAATGGACTAAACCTTTTTGTTTTATTGTAAATAATATGCGTAAAGGGACGGTTGGTGAACATTGGGTTGCTTGTTATTCTGATAATCCGAGTACTGTGGAATACTTTGACTCTTTTGCGGATGAGCCGAATTGTGACATGAGACAATCTATGCTGAGTAATTTTTCACACGTAAAACAAAATAAATTTCCTTTGCAATCCCCTCTATCAGATACTTGTGGCCATTATTGTATATATTTCCTTGTATTGCGTTCAAAGAACAATTTTTCATCAACACTACAAAAATTACATTCAATTCCGCCAGAAGCCCGTGACGCTTTATTAAGACGATTCATTCAGCGCCTTTCGTATATAAGATAAAGGTCAATATATTAATTACATTACTAAAATGAAATTTTCAATCTTAATATTATTTTCATTTGTTTGTGTGATATTATCTCACAATGACAGTAATATCCTTTTTCCGTTGCACGGACCTTTTCCTCCGAATGTAAATGCTTGTTTTGCTATTGACGGAGGACATGCGCTTTCTATTGGTCCTGCTATATCTCCAAACAAAGATATACTGCTTGTCTTAGCATATATTCTGGATTTGGGTTTATTATTTGTCCTGGCTGTATTATTTAGATTACATACAACTATTCGTAAAAAAGGAAATGATGGGATGACTAGTATTAGATTTTCCAAAGGCCCTCTTAGTATATAAGAGCGATATTTATTCATTACAAATTAGTTTGCCATGCGTACTAGCGACAACATGCCTGAATCTATTAGTTCTTCACCTCAAGTTCAATTAACACCTCTTATTCAAATACTGTGCCGTTTCAATGGAGGATGTGCCCCAGAATCACTTCATCGCGAAATACGAAAAAAATATAATGAAAATATCAATTATTTGCAGACTCTTACAAATATGACTAATGATGATGTTGCCATTTTAGGAATTGGTCAAAGAAATTTTAGTGAACCACGAAAGAAAGCTCTAATTACAAATCATCTAAAACATCAACAGATGGAAATATATCCGAGCAAGTTAACGAAGATGGGGGCTGATCAGATATTTGCTTTACGCGGATACTTACGTGTTACAATAAGACAATATTTCTATGTTCGACACAGAATTGATATTGCATATCCTCAATTACCACTTATTTGTGTCGCTGGAGGAAGAAGACATCAATATTTCTACCCTATTGAATGCATCGATGTAATAGAACAAATAGAACAAACTGAAACTATATAAACGTATCCTTTTTTTGTTTTATTTATTTCCAATGAATAAAATGTTTTCAAAATTTGTTTTGATCATCTTTTTTGGATATGTCTTTGCTGAATTTAAAATATGGAAAGTGGAGGAGGCTAAAGTAGCAGAATTTCGTCGGACTCCAACCCCAACACCTTTCTATAGAGAGTTTCTATTTTGCAAAGATCTAGGTCTTCCTAAACGTAAAACTTTTCAAGATAAAAAATGGTATGGTAATCACTATTATTGGGACAAAAATGAAAAATCTTATAAAATTGTAAAGTTTGGTGTGGCAACAACTCCTGCACCTGTTAATGAAACGGTTTGCTTCATTAAAGATCCCCCTTTCTCAAGCGTATTAGATTTTTTTAAAAATTTGTTTTAAATTTTGTACAAAATAAAGATATAAAAAATCATAAAAATTGAAAAATAAAAATGCAAAAAAAAATAATAAAAATATAAAATCCAAAAAAAATATAAAGATATATAATTCAAAAAATAATAAAATCTGTTTTTTCAACTTATTTATTTCCTCCCGTGTCTTAATTAACGTGTTACTTTATGTTTTATAATTTATTTCTTATGTGCTTTCATATAATTTTTCTAATTTTTAATTATAAAGTTTGAATTCATGTTCTTAATATTTTAAATTGAAAGAGTATAAAAAATAATTTATAGTAAATTTTACTTTTTATATTGGTTAGAAATAATTTTTACATATTTGAACAAAATTTTTTATTTAAAAATTATAAAATATTTTTTAGTATTTTGCCTAATAAAGCACAATTTTTTCGGACAAAAAGAAAACATTCTTCTTATAAAGATAATCACCAGAAATGATGTAAAATTATGTGGTTTTTATTTTTTCTTTTTTTCGGAAAAAACTTTTATTTATTTGAAGGCAATTATTTTCCGCGCTTAAAAATTGACAATAAATGTATTTTTGTATTTAATTGTTTTGTGCGCTAAAATATAATTGTTTGTTACAAAAAAAGACATATTTTTGGTAATTACCGCACGTTCTCAAATGAAAATAAAAATTTTTAGTAAAATATTTAGAAATTGGGAAATTTGAAAATTTATATTGAAAAAATTTTAAGAATTTAGAGATAGTAATATATGTGTAGGAATTAAAAATTTTTTAAATTTCTATTTTTTATTTACACATAATATAAAATAAATATAAATATTTAAGATAAATTAGTTGCTGGAATTAAAATGTATTTAAAATAAAGTTTTGTTAAAAAAGAATTTCAGTTTCTGATTATTCTTTCACATTTACAAGGTTCTGTAATATTTGTATAAAAATTTTTTGAAAAATTTTTAATATTTAAAAATTATTTGTTATTTAATTATATGAAAAATTTTAACTAAAAATATTTTTAACAATGAAATTTCTAAAAATTAATTTAAATCAATCATGAGTGTTGAATAAAAATTTTTTGCAATCATTGAGTGCTAAGATATATTCTTAAAAAATTGCAAAAAATTGGATTGGGTAAATAAACTAGTAGGCTGGTTTATCCTGAATGATTTACTATGCAGAATTGCTAGGTTGAGATTTCTAATTATTTTAAAAATATTATTTTACTCACTATTTTATTCAATATAAAAATTTTAAAAAATCCTTAAATATAACAAAGGAATGTTGCACAATAGTCAAAAACAAGCAATTAATTCGCGCACAAAAATAGAAAATATGTGCAATTTATGTTGCTATTTTTGTAATGCTTTTTTGTATACTAAATTAACGATTTTTACTCTATTTCTTTTCTATAAAAATAATTGGTGTATCCTTTGTTCGATATTTTTGTGAAATTTTGACTTGTAAATACTTTGTTGAGTTTTTCTTAAAATGATATTTTTTGGAATTCTTACTTTTTTGATATTTAATTATAGTTTTTTTAATTGAGGTTACATGCTAAAATTTTGCGCACTTCCTAAAAATACTTTCTAATTGTTCAATATGTTTAGGTTGTTAATAATTGTTAAGAGTAGATAAATTCATACTCCGGTTTTAAAACACTTTTTGGAAAATTTTTCAAAAAGTGTTTTAAAACTGGAGTATATACTACTATTATTACAATTTAATTTTAACTAAACATACTAATTTAATATTAAAAATCTGTAGACAAATTGTACAGTTAAAGCATAAGTATTAAAAATATACATTAAATTCCAAATAAATTGGAAAATATAAAAATATATTTTTTCATTAGATATTAAACTAAGTAAGCCTGTTGATATTATATAGTAAATACTGCCGTTATCATTGTAAATTAAAACCTTAAATTAAGCATTTCCTTTAATTAATTCTGGACTCTTTAATTAAATGCCAATTTAAAAAATATATTTATAAGGGATTCTGACACTTCCCGACCCTCAAAAATCAAAAATTCGGTTATTGTAATACCTGTTTTAGAGTAGGTCTTGATTTAAACGTATGTAGAATTATCACAAGGATAGTACATTAAGAAAGTTAATCAGGAATATTTATTTTTAGGAATATTTATTTAGGGCCGAATCGAAAACGGCAACCCTAATCAATTAAATATAAAGAATTTCTTTTGAAATGTGAGAGCTGAAATGTTGAAAATTGAGAATCTTTTAAGAGGCAAAAATTGGTATCAGAAATCAAAATAATTAAAAAAACTAGGATTATTTATTTATTCATTAAAAATTAAATAAATTTCAAACTAACTAATTGACCAAAAATTTCCATAATTAAAAAAATAATATCTAAAATACAATTTTGAATTAAAATACGACTGTGCTGAAACATTTCTTTTGGTGTTTTATTAAAAATAAGCCAAATTAAAGAAAAATTAAATAAAAATCCAATAATTATACAAAAATAATAATCAATTTGGAAAAATAATTGAAATAAAGACATTCTTTTAATTAGTTATTTTTTTAATAAAAATTTTTATCTCTAAATTAAATTTAATAATTTTTTAAAATTATAATAAAATAGAACTTTTTTAAAAATTAATTCGATATAATTAAAAAAGAAAAATGTACATTGAAAATTTTTACTTTATTATTAAATATTCTTTTTTTCTTGAAATAATTATCACCTGTGTTTAATTATTATTTAGCTTAGATATTAAATATTTTTAACAAAGAAAATTGAAAATGTATTGACAATAAAAATGTAAATTTCAATTAACAATTATAAGAGAGACAATTAAATTAATTTAATAAAAATAAAAGTTCATAAATTTTGTTAAAAACAAGAAAATTAGAGAAATGACATTTAAATGTATTTGTAATTTATTTAAAAAAAATTTTTTTATTTTTTGTGTTCATGACTAGGGAACGGATTTAGGTATATGGATTTCCGCATTTTTGTCCTGGCCTATGTAGTTGGGTTTTTAGCATATGCATGATGATAAGGCCGTTTTTGAGTTATCAATCCATATTTTCATATTTCGTCATTTTTTGTAAAATTTTGCCAAAAATTGATTAAAATTTTCAAATTTATGAAAATTTTTTGGTCAAAAAAATTTTTTATGAAATTTTTTTGGAAAAATTAAATAGATAAATAATATTCGATGCTAGAAGACCATTATGTCACAAAACCTACACTTCACGAGAAATAATAATTAAATTTGTGAAAGGGACTTCTGATAAATCATTCAACGAGGCATCCAACCATTTATATAACATTAAAACCGAATGATTTGTAAACTATTAACTATGTTAACTTTTAATTAAATTAGCACTTTTTATCAAAAAGTTTTTGACTTAAGCTATTAATGTACCTATATTTTATACCGGGTATTTACTCATAAATAAATAATTTGTGGGATTTATATAACAGAATAGTATTAAGCTTTTTTATTATTAATTATCTCCCCAAAACTTCTTAGCTTCGTGAATATCAGTATAACGTAAATGAATAGCCACATTAGTTCTTTCAATTTTTCTATGCTGAATAAAATGTTTAAATTAAAAATTATTTTAAATTTTACCTTAATATATTTTCCTTTTATTTTTTTAATAAACTTTAAAAAATAATAATTTAAAGATATTTTTTCTTTATTTGAATAATTAAATAATTCGGGCATATTTAAACCAACAATCCATTGTTTACACCAATTGTCTTCCCTTTAAATTAAAATATTTATTTATTTATTTATTTATTTATTTATTTATTTATTTATTTATTTAATTGTTAATTACCAAAATTTCTTAAATTTTTTTCCAGCAATTAATCTTTTTTCACATTTTTCTTTTTTTGATTTATTTGGTGAAATATGTGAATATTCTAATTTTGAATATTCTTCCATTGACAAAATTAATTCAACTCTAATTCTATTTTTTACAAAATTACAAAAATCTTCTCCAATATTTTTATCAATTCCAACACAAATAATTGTTACAAAATGATTGTACTTTGAAAAGAAAAATAATTTTAAAATTAAAAATATAAATTAGGTACTTTATCAACAAAATTAACCCCTTTAATCCATTGTTTCAAAATTTCATTTAAGTGGGAAGCTTCGTTTGAATTGCGAATTTGTCTTAATCCTCTTAAACCTATAAGAAAAAAATTAAAAAATAAAAATATAAAATAAATATTTAACAATATATCAGTGTATTATTTGGTAGTACTCATTTCAGATCCTTAATTCTAATTAAATTTCCTAATATTAACCTTCAATAATTGTTTGTTTAATTATTTTCATTGTTGAATAATTAACATTAAAAGCACTTGACTGTTGTGGATATGCCGGTGTTAATATTGGCATGATTAATTTTGAATGTTTTTCTAATCTTTCATTATTTTCTTTTTCATTTTCTTTCAATTTTTCTTTTTCCATTTTTATATATTTTTTATCACTTTTATCATCCCAATCTTCTTCAATTCCTTGTTTATTTAAAAATGTTATTTCCCTTGCAAATAATTCAGTTTCAACTCTCCAACTGTGCGGTAAACTATCGTCAATTTTACCAATAAGGAAAGGTCTAGGCCAATTCCTTAAAATTAAAAATTGTGATGATCTGCTTTCGTTTCACACAATACACATAAACATACATAAGACCTTTGCTTGCTTTTACGTCAAAACAAGCAAAAAAGTGAAACTAAGCGGAATTAAAATTTTGGTTAGGTGGATAAGAGCCTTGACTAAAAATCCACATAAATTTGGATCATGTTTAATGTTAACTCCAGTCAATGTCAATGGGCTAAGAAAATGAACCATCCTTTTAAAATGTTTGAACATTGGAACTTTTTTAAATTTAAGAATTTAAAATAATTTATCTTACTAACCATGTCAAAAAAGTAAGAAAGAATCTATCTACTATAACCAAAACAGAACAAGTATTTGGATATAATAAATAAATTTTAGTTAACATAATTAACATAGAAGTACCACTCAAAAATCCAAATTGATTTCCATAAATAGAATTATCTATAAATTTTTAAAAAATATTTTTCTACTAAATTAGGTATTTTACTTTTTGCCCAAATTTTTAATAAAATTAATGCCGAACGAAATATTTTTATTTTTTGTTCTTCTTTTGGTAATAATTCTTTAATAATTAAATTCGATTTATAACCAGATAAAGGAAAAACTCTTCCTAAACTATTATTTTCTGCATTATTTAATGCTTTATCCATCCAATTTTCATTATTTTTTATCTCTTCAGGAATTTGTACAAAACTGATGTCTATATCAATTCCATGAAATTCAAATTTCAATAAAGGAACACGTATTTCTCCAATTCTTTTTAAATTCTTAACTTTGTCCTAAATTTTAATTAGTAGCTATGATTATAATTGTTTTTTATTTATAGATTGAACTGGGGTTTGACAAAAGACCTTTCTTAGGAAGCTAGGGTTGTGGATAAGGTTTATGTTACAGTTTAATATTTAAACGTTTATTTTCCTGTTTGGCTGTAAGTTCGGGTTTAACCGCATCTAGAATGGAACTTTACAAAAAATCCGGAAAAGAACTTCCGATCAAATTAGATTTATAGTTTAAATTTCAACCCAACCATAAATTTTTTATTCCAAAATTGTGTAGCTCTACATATTTTATTTATATTTATTCTACCTGTAAACATAAATAACAGTAAAAAGACTGATCAGAACAATTTTTCTCTTTATTATCTAAGCATTTTGAAGTTAAACGTCCAAAAAATTGTGTAGCTCTACTTCTCAATTTTTTTATTCCATCATTATTTTCTTCTTTTTCTTCATCCCAAAAATGTTCAGTATTCTTTTTAACAACATAAATAGCGTCAATATCAGAATTTTTTGTATTAACTTCCAACATTAAAGATCCCCCAATCAAAAATTCATAATCAGCTTCAAATATTTCTGCCCAGTTTTTTAATATATTTTTTAATTTTTTAGTTATTTCGTTTATATTTTTATCATTTTCTTTATTTAATTCAATTAATTCAAATATTTCATAATTATAATTATCTTCATCCTCCTCAGAAAATATTAAATTTTGAATTAATTCTGGATTTAAATATTTTGCTGGGCCATATTCTCCAATATTTTGATTATCTGAAATTAATTTTGTTTTGAATTGTTCTAAAGCTCATTTCGAAATAAGCTCTCTAAACTTGATGATATATCCCTCATATAAAATTCCCTCTAATAATTTTGTTTATGATTTAGTTCCGCAAAGCCTGTTTCATTAAGGCCCTTTCAGCCATATTTTTAGCAAAAACTTTTTTAATTCTTAACCGATTTTAATAACTATTAGGTATGTCAAGCGATAGCTTTTGATTTGAAGATTATTTTTATAACAGGATCTATTTGATCAAAACAAAGTTACTATTTATGTGTCATACATTGGCATATAACAATCTTATTTAAATTTAATAATATATACCAATATCCCTTTGATTCTTAAATTTATTCCAATCATTTATTTGTTCATCAATTCTATTAAACCATTCTCCAACCTTTTCAGACTCTTCAACTCCAAAAAGAATTGAAATAATATTTTCTTTTTCATTTTGACTTTTTTCTTTAATAAATACAATATTTTCTGTTGAAGAAATTAATTTTTGTAAATGTAATTGATGAATAATAAAATAAATATTATTTTCATTTAAAATTGTTTTTTCTTTAATATTTTTATCAACTTTCAAAATTCCTTCAATTAAATTAACTAAATATTTAAGTCTGTTGTATAATTCAATTTGATGAATATTTTCAAAAACCTTAAAAATATTATTAGACACGGACATATTAATTAATGGCCGCTTTTAGTACAAATTTGTGAATTGTTTCCCATTTTATTACCAGTTATTTTCAAAGTTATTTCCTTGAAATGCCACTAACTCATAATGAAATTTACAAGCTTTTACACCACAAATTCAAATTCATCAAAAATGAAACAACAAAAAATATTGATGATTTAGTCAATTAGGAATTTTCGAAAAAATGTTCTTCTTCCCAAATAATTCTTCCCAAATAAATAATATGGACAAGGTTAAAGCTTTTCAAGCAAGGGCGTTCAATAAATATCTTTATTAATGATATTTTTGTTGAACAAGTTTAAGTTACTTAGACTTAGAAACCCCTCCCTCCCCCTACGAATAATAAATTAATTACTTTATCAAAATTCTGATCATTTTCTGTTAAATTTTCCAGCCATTTTGGAATTTTCCCTAAAATTTCTCCTCCAAATATTTCTTCATAAATTAATGGCCATATTTTATCTTTTAATTGTTTAAATGCAACAAAACGTTTATATATTTCATTAATAATAATGCCTATATCAATTAAATAACGTTTTTCTATTGAAGGGTTTTCGATAAATTCTAAATAAAATTTATTAATTATTTGGGCATTTTTAAATTCTGAAATTTCTAATTTTAATTCATTTAAAGATGTTGAAGAAAAAGAAGAAGAAATATTTTTTTGTTTTTCATTATTTCCTCCAATTAATTTATTTGTTAATTTCTTTTTTGGCTTTTTAGGAGGAGGGGGAGGAGGCTTTTCCTTTATTTTTTGTTTTTCCTCAACAATTTCTGATTTTATTTGAATTGTTTGTTCAACTGTTTTCTGATTTTCTTCTTTTTCTGAATTACTTGTATTTGCAATATTTTTATTTTTTGAAGATTTTGATTTTTGTTTCTTTTTTGTATTTTCTGATGTTTTTTCTTTGTTTTTCTCTTTAATTTTCTTCCCTTTCCCTTTACTTTTCTCCTTTAATAATTCATCTTCCCAAAGAGCTATATTTTTTAAATATTCCTCTTCTTTAGCTTTAAGTTCAGCTTTACGTTCTTCTTCCGTTCTAATATCTGTTTTACTTATATTTTCATATATTTTATTTATATTTTTTGTTTCAATAAATAAATCAAGTTCTTTTTTAAATTTTTCTTCTCCAATTTCTTTTAATTCTTAAATTAAATGATCAGATTAATCTTCATTAGGATTAATTAATATCAGGGGGCGACGGCGGTCTCAGTCGGAATATTTGAAACTTACTAATAGCCAAATCCTTGCTGAAACTTTCATTTTTTAAGAAAATTCCCAGTGTAGTTAAATGTAGTTCTTTAATTCTTTTCTCAATGCCACTTGTGTTTGAATCATCTGTTGAGATTGCTATGTCTTCCATGTTGGGTTTATACGCCTAAATTATAATGCTAATTTAAAATAGATTTTTGTTTTCTTTGATATGTATACAAATAGATTTTTTAAACGTAAAAAATACATTGCGCGCAGCCATGGCCGGAATTGCGGAATTTTCAGAGCAGAATCTGCTGATATACAAGTGTACATAAAACTAGGATAGCTCCCAGAGCCTTTGGGGTCGGAAATGGAGGGGATTGGCGTTTGCCGGGGACGGCATGTTGGGGCTGATTTTTGGGTCGGTGTTCGGGGGCGGGTGTCGGGGTTTCAATAGAGAGTCTTAAATTAAAATAAATTTAAGCACCCAAAATTCGTCATTTTAGCGTAAAAGCTTAACCAACCTATGTCAAAATTCAAGAATCAAAAGAAAACTGGTAAACTACATTACCTAGGTATCTAAAGTTTAGTATATAAATAATACATACTATGTTTGCGTTTTTGTCTGCTGATTTAGCCTCTTCAATAATATCTAATATAAATTTAAACGCGTTATAACATTTACATTCCTTTAACTCTTCTAAATTAAGACAATAAAAGTCCCAATAATATTTATGAACTAAAAACTTATTTTTATTGAAAAATTTTATAAGTTTTTCTTGATTATGCTTATTTCTCCATTTATTAGAATTAATAATTCCATCTGCAAATTTAATCCAAACTAAAAAATCTGCCGACATTTTATTTGTTTTCTTTGATCTTTCATCATCTAACGTAAAAACATTTAAATAATATTTCTTTAGTATATCATTATTTTTGAAATCTAAATTTTAAATTGGTATTATATTTTTTCTACCCCTCTCTCTCCTTTTTCACAAAATGTTTTAGTACATAATGATCTGTGATTAGATTAATTTTCAATAATAAAAATTTGGCTGGCGGAGAAATCTTGAAAAAATATTTGAAAATTTTCTTAAACCAGACAAACAATATTTTTAAAAATTGTACAGAAAAATGATCCAAATATGCACAAAATTTTAAAAATATGCGAAAATTGCCTAAATATGCACCAACATGCAAATATGCACTAAAATACCAAAATATGCAAAATGTTCACACCGACGTAAAAAACCATTTGGAGCTTTCAGCTCATAGCATAATCCGCATACAAAATATGCATTTGCATGTTTTGCGCACCCTAATCATTATGCATCGTTTCATTTTATGAAAAAGGATAGAGAGGAGTTAGAAAAATACATATGTATTTTTGAAATTTTGGAGACG